AAAAAAAAAAAAAAAATCAAGCCGAGGCTGCAGGATTTCTCAAGTTCTTAGTTTTGACTTGTTAAAAAGATATTGAAAAGAAAATAAAAGGAAAAACCCAAGAAGGTTAGTTGTAAGTGCAGGGAAAAGAGAGGCTGTCACAGGAGAGGCAGAAGGTCACATCCTTCTTTGGACCCTTTAGTCCAAAGCTTCAGAATCAGGCAGAGCTGGATCAAGCAGCCCTACAAATGTGTACTAAAATCCTTTGTGTGGCTATGGATAAGTCACTACACCTCTCTGAGCCTTGGTTCCCCCATGTCCTGAATGACAATGAGCAGAAAAGTGCACAGCCATGCCTGGCACATCATAACTGCATCTGAATTCATGAACACTTGCTAGAATCAATGCATACCATAAAACGAGTAAGCTACAGAACCAGAATTCGAATCCAAGTCTCTCGGCTCAATTTTGCTAGCCCAGAGTGCCTCCAAACACCTTAAATTTCTTTGCCACTTTGAAAAGGAAGGGGAGCATGCATCCCTCCTCCAGTCTCATCAAAACTGAAACCAAGTTGCTCACGCTAAGATACCACTGCCACCTGGTGGCAGCATACCTAAATTATTGGAGTGGGGGCAACTGTCAAAGGAGGAAAACTGCCAGGGTCTTATACACACCTAAGTCACAAGCGAATACTTATACAGGTAGAACGAACGTCCCCATCAACCACTTCACGAACGGGCTGCACACTGCCCGGCATTTACCAGTTCCTTGAAACTCTGACTTGGGTTTCCTGGACGCTTTTGGGGTTTGTTTGTTTTTGTTTTTGTTTTTAATTTAACAACCACAAAGAAACCAAACACCACTAACATTGAGTGCAGACATCCAGGTTTTCCTGGAAACTGCTAGAAGCTCAGGGGTCCCCACTTTTGTACTTGTTCAATCAATCGCCTAAATCCCACATGTAATCCTTCATGTTTAAATTTCACGTTTCAAGATTGTCACTTTCCGATCATCTTTCTAAGCCAGTCAGTGTCCCGAAATTCAGCTTTCTATGCCCACCTTCTTAGTTAGCCCTCGTAGCTGCACACTACTCACGAATTCCCCGAGCGCTGCCTCTCAGGTGTTCCCATAGGCCGCAGACGACAGTTAAAGAAAATGCAGACTGGGACAAGGCAGGAAGCAGAGCTCTGTGGACTACCACTAAAAACAGCCAGCCGCTCCCTTGACATTGATCTTGGCCACCTTTGCAATGAGGCATTTTCCCAACCTGTCCAGGGGGCAGTTTGTCTCCAAGTGCTTCCTGCCCCTTCCTGAGCTAGGACAAAACAAGGCAATCACCTACTGAGTTTTCCGCTCACATGGAAAACACATACAGAGAACTGAATGGGGCAGAGGCCAGGCAGCCGTTGTGTGTGGCAGTGAAATGGCCTCTTCCTTCAGGTAGGCCCCCTGACCACACTACCCCTGTTATCTTCCCTGCCCCTGGAATGCTCTGGCATTCAACTCCCAGATGGCCCCCTGCAGGTCCTGACGTAAGCCCTGCCTGTCTTGGGACACGCGGGGCTGCAGAGAGCCAGGCCCCAGGGACGCGGGGTAATCTCGCTGGGGAAACGGAGGTCTCAGCAGCACGTGCCGACTCTGTGAGCAGGAATGTGCCACTCTGCCTTCCTAGCTGCAGTCTGCTGCCTTCTGCCTACGTTCGCCAAGCTGTGGGCATGAGAGAGACCTAGGGGAGAACCCCGCCTCTAGCCCTGACCAGCTATGGGAGCGGGGCCAGCCTGGCCTCACCTTCCCCATCCATAAAATGGGAGCAGCGATGGGAATCAACCTTATAAGGCTGTGGCAAGGGTGAAATGGTCACGAGGAGCCTAGCACACAGTAGGTGCCCAATAAATTCTCGTCCCTTCCCTCCCTTGGAGACTTGCATTGAGTTTCCAAGACTGTCACACAGCACAAGGCAAGTGGCCCTGCAGCTGTCAGCGGGAAGAGGAGGGGAGTGACCCTCTTTAGGGCCAGGAATGTAATTCTGCAGGGTGGTATTTCCGTCCTTGGTCCGGCTGTGATGAGCGTCCCTCTAGAGGCACGGGAAGAATTCCGAGTGTCCCCTCGGTCATCCCAACATGGCACGAGGCCTTAAACTCTGCACAGGGCCGGCCACTCATCCTCAGCGGCTCCCCGGCTCACTGTGAAGACGACAGCTCAGGACGTGCCCCGGTCATCGCGGCCCTACCCTGCTGGCTCTGTGAGGCCACAGGACTGTCACGGCTTGTTCTAAACTAAAATTATCAGAAGGCGCGAGAGCCAGGGAGGCGGGGTGTTAAGTAAGGCGCTGACTGCATGTTCCACACGGGGATGCACAACGGGGACTCCCCGGGGGGCTGGGAGGACCCTTCTCATCAGATCTGGCCCCTGGGTCTCGAAAGTGACGAGCAGAGGACTGATTTCCTTATGTGCTAAGAGACTCTGGACCATCCTATGCAGAGCTCGAACCGGAAAACTGGGCCAAAGAACCAGGTAACGGACAGGAAGTGAAGAGCGGGGAGAATGGCTGGGTGGTGGACTCCCTGGAATACTTACATTTGGAGCAACCTTCCGAAGTTACTTTGAACCCAGAGCCCTGAGACCCTGAGCCTGCCTCACCCAGCCCCTCAGGCGGGCCCCTGTTCTGAAAGCAAGCCCTTCTATGGTCCTTTTGGAAGCAGGCCCAATGCTCTAAAGCTCCTGAGCAAAGTCAATGGCCAACGGGGCAGGAATGCCTTTTCGGCACTGCAGGGAGAAAGCCACCGGACGTCAGAGGGAGAAGGGGGAGAGGCTTTCGTGCACTGGAGGGATGCTCCCGGGCTGAGCTGTCTGGAAGGCAGGAGGCGTCTGCCCTCACGCCTCTGGGTAACAGACGAGCTTTGATTTGAGCCGGCAGGAGGCTGCCTGAGACGAGGCGGCCGCCCGAAAGCAGCCACCGAGTCAGGACTTACCTTCCACTGCAGCGAATGGAACCACTGGTCTCTCAGGTAGCTGTTGGCAGCCTGCAACGACAAGAACAGGACAGCAAGGTCCGGTCACCGGCTTGCAGCATGTCAGGGCACTACTGCGCGGGCCCCAGGCTGCCCCGTCCAGCAGGGTCTGCCCTGCGGCCCGAGCACAGGGACCCACCCAGCTGAACCTTTCGGGCGCAAAAACCGAAACAGAAGTGGCAACCGGGGGGACTTTTCTGAAATGAGTCATCACTGCCGCTGCGTGCTTACAATTTGCTGGGTATAAGTGACTCCAGACACCGGCTGCTTGAAGAGCTTTCACTGCACACGTATCTTGACTTCATTAGGATCACGGGAGGGGCCGGGGCGAGCGGAGAGAGGCACGGTGGTAGGAGCAGATCGGGTGCCTCCTTTCCACCAGGCACTGCTCCAGGCACCTGGCGCCTGTTATTCACGTGTTCTGTCATCAGCCCTCACAACAGCCCTGTGAGGTGACTAACGCTACGCCCATTTCACAGGGGGAGAAACTGAGTCTCTGATGTCTCACATCAACTAAGGACATTCAAACCCAGGCAGGCTGGCTTCAGAGCCTGTGGGTTTATGAACCTCTTGCCAACCGCAGAAAGTCATGGGAGAGAGCGCCTGGCCTTGAACTCAGGTGGACTCGAGTTAAAAATCACTGTGCAGGGAGCAAAATCTTCCCAGAGGTGCACCACCCTAGTTCGCAGACCTTGGCAACTGGGCCTGGATTTTCTTCTCCGTAAAACGGGGCCACTAACCCTATCTTGCAGGAATGCTGTGAGGATTGGGAAGGATTCCTGTAAGGTGCACAGAATCGGGCCTAGCACATAGTACGTGCTCACACAGAAACACAGCCTCTGTCGTTACTGTCATCACTAATCTCTCTCAAGTGAATCGTGGCCCGAGGAAGGCCCTGCAATTGTCACGCTGCTGTGGCTCTCACCCCCGGTTCCAGCACGGCTCTGGGTGATAACAGCAATATTTATGGCTCATTTAATGTGCACCAGACACAGCGCTAAGGTCTATGCGTGGACTGGCTTGTTTGGTCCTGGCCAGTCTACCCTGGGAAGTCGGGACCGTCAGCATCGTCACCCCCTATGGTACAAACAAGGAAACTGAGGCTCGGGGAGGTTAAGAACGTTCCCACAGGCTCACAGGGAGTAGGTGTGGGACCAGGACTTGAACCCAGGCAGTCTGACTCATGCTGTAAACCACAAAGTTTCTGGCATTCCAAGTTTTCCAGTCACCATCCCTAAGGGCAGAAATGCAGTGTCTGTTCTCGCCTGACCCCGCAGCCCTCTGTTCTAAGTTGACCCTGACTTTCATGGTCCCGGGACTCTCACAAAGGCTGGAGCTTCTTTCCAAGTATGAAAGTCCAACTTCTGTTCCCAGCCTGCATGGACACACACACACACACACACACACACGCACAAGCGGGTACAACTTCGGGTCACCCTCTGTCAAGGGGATCCAGGTGCCCTACCCAGATCCTCGATGGGGCATCAGCCGCTCTCCCGGGGCACAGTTTGGGGAAATCTCTGGGCTTGAATAAACGAACCTGTTCCGTGGCCAGTGCGGGAGGGTAAGGGTACCAGGTCCCCGTGAGCAAACTCAGAGACTGGCAGACTGATACCAGCCTGTGGACACAAGGCAAGTTGGCATCTCTGCCCTGAGTGGGAGTGGGCCGGGGGACACCTTCCGTGTGATTCAGGGACCTCTGCAGTGGCCGAGTCTCCAAGAGACCTGGGTTCAAGTTCCCTGAAGACACAGAGCCTTTGTCACCTGACTGGGGAGGTGGTGGCCGAAGGGGAGTCTCACGGGACCAGCAGCACCCCGGAGGGTCTGTGGCTGACTCACCTCCCATCCGTGCTGACCTAGCTCTGTGGTCTTGTGACACTTCTTGTTCATTAGGATGAAAAAATACACCCCATGCTCAGGGAGAGCGACGCCAAGATCCCCAACAATGAGATAATCCACGCAAAACGCTTACTTAGCTCAGCGCCTGGCACGTGTAGACACTTTACAAACAGCACCGATCAGGATCCGTGCAGCCACGGCCTGTGGGGTGCTGATAAACGTGGAACAACAGGCTTGCAGAATAGAAAAGCCCTGATCACAGCATGTGCCACCTTCTGTGCTGTAAACGATCCCACTGTGGCTGCTTCCACGCCACAAGGAGGGAAATCCCTGGACCACAGTTGGGAAGAGACGCGTTGGATCCGCTCTCAGGGGCTGGTCCCGGCCGGTGTGAGCCTACCCGGCACACGCCCAGCCCACAACCATCTCTGGGCTTTTTAACACACCCAAGTTGGCCAGAGAGAGGGGGGCAGGTGCGGGAGGCCAAATACAGGACCCCCAGAGATGGTCCACATGCTTGTCCTTGCGAAGGCCTCACCTTAGGTGGCAAATGGGCTTTGCTAAGATTTGAGGAAGTTAAGGACCTTGGAATGGGGAGGTCATTCTGCGTTCTCTGGGTGAGTCAATGTCATCAGAAAGGTCCTTACAAGAGGGAGGCTGGAGGTCAGAGAGAAGAGACAGAAACAGAGGTTGGAGGGATGCGGCCACAAGCTAAGGGACACAGACAGCCTCTGAAGCTGGAAAAGGCATGGAAAGCTATTCTCCCAAGAGCTTCCGCAAGGCTCTAGCCCTGCTGACATCTTGATTTTGGCCCAGTGGGCCCCGTGCTGGACTTCTGGCCTCCAGAACTAGAAACAAACAAGTACTAAATTTGTGTTGTCTGAACCGCTAAAGGTGTGGTAATGTGTGACAGCAGCAGTAGAAAACCGGTGTGGGAGGTATGGATAGTTAGTGCTCAGAGGGGCTGCTCTGTTGGTCCTGGGGGTGCACAGTGGGCCCGGGCAATGCCCATAAGGTGTCACTGGTTGGACTGAATGACCAAGTGAATGAGCTCCTTGAGGGCAGAGTCCTTTTTAAAAAATTTTTTTTTATTTTGAGGGAGAGCGGTGTGTGTGGGGGGAGAGAGAGAGACAGACAGTGAGTCTCTGAGAAGGAGGATCTCAAGCAGACTCCACACTCAGCACAGGGCCCGACTTAGGGCTCCATCCCACGACCCTGCGATCATGACCTGGGCCAAAATCGAGAGCCAGATGCTCAACCAACTGAGCCACCCAGGTGCCCTGAGGGCAGAGCCTTATGCCCAAATCCCCCGTGCTGATTAGCAGTCCCGGGTACCGCTGCGGGGCTGGCTGCACAAGAATGAATGAACACGCACACAAAGCAGGAGGTGAGAGAGCAGAGCAGTGGTAGGAAGCACTAGATAGTGACTCCCTTTCTGTGCCTCGGCCGCCGAATCGAACACAGACCTGGTCTCTCCGTGACCAGGCCCAGCCCTTCCCATTCTGGGAACCACCCCAGCACGCAAGCTCCTGTTGGGGATTTTTAAGGCGGGGGGTGGGGGGGGGCGGCGCCCCTCCCTTGGTTGACTGTGAGGAGCAGGTGATCCAGGCCTCGTCGGTCGCGTCAGTCAGAAGCCCCTGCCCAGGACTCTGGGTCTTGAGCCAAGCAATGTGGGGATGAAGGGGTTAAGAATTCATCATGAGGCAGAGGGGTGTCTTCCGCTAAAGGGAAACCCTAGGCTGGGTGGGGCACGGTGCTACCACCTGCCTCAGCCTGTTCTCCAGGCTCCCGTCAATCCTTCCAGCATATTCCTTTTCTGCTGGAGACGGCCTGAGTCCATCTTGCCTGCTTACGTCCAAGAGCCCTGACTGACCCACAAGGCACCAGTGGACACTTGTTCCTTCTCAAAAAGGCATGTTCCAAAGCATTTTCTCTCCAGCTGTTCCTCCAGAAGGCGCTGGCCAGCCCCGGAGCGGCAGCCTCCCCTGCTTCCACCACGAGCCCTCCTCCCACCCCCCAGGTGGTCTGGCTCTGCCCGACCTCGACCTCGACCTCCACCTCGACGTGCCCGGCCTGCTGCTAAGCAGAGATGGCTGTGCACGTTTCTTCCCCTGCCCTGGTGCCTGGGGCCGCGTCCCCAGGTCTCCGTTGGGTCTGCTGTGTCCTGTTTGACAGCAGCCTTGCGGTCTAGAAGGGGAAGAAGGTTCCTTCAGCGACACAACCCCATCTCACCTGCCCTGCTCACCTCCCCTCTCGGCCTGACCTTTCCGGCAGAACCCCCTGCATGTTCCAAGTCCCTCCTCACGTGGGAGAGCCCCCGCGCCTGCCCACACCCAGCTTCCCAGCTGCCTCCATCATCCCGTGAGCATCTCAACTGGAGGAGGTCAGAGTCACGTTCTGGAAAGAACGCAGGTGTGGGTTCAGTGGAGCAGTTGGTGGATCCCAGCTGAAAACAGCTGTGTGACCCTGGACCACCCCGCCTGTACCGTGGACCCGGGGAGCCTGCCTCCCCAAGGCACGGGGCTGAACTGAGACGCACAGGGCAGGAACCCCGGCTGATGTCACCTACCAGGCACCGAGCAAACTGCTCTGCACACCTCACTCTGAGGAGAGGCACGGAGGCTCCGAGCAGGTGGGAGGGCCCTGCCACCCGCCTGGGAGCTGACCCAGCCCGACCCCTGACCACACCTTCGCCCTCGCTGCTACAGCTTGTTTGGCACACGCCCCTTCTCTGTCCTCCGCACCCCTCGCCCCTCCAGCACTTTGGCTGGGACCACGCTCCCCGCCCTCCTTCCCGCCACTCTCAGAGCCCCATCCTGCCCACGGGACTGGGAAAGGAGACAGAGTCCCGTCGGATTAACTGCCTCCCCGGTGAAGCCGGGGTCACCAAGTTCGCCGAGTGGACTCATGACACGGGGGCAAATGCTGGAGGTGCCATCCGGTTCCGTGCCTCCAGTCCAGGGAGGCAGAGACAGCAGACGTCCCCCACCCCACCCGCTGGGCTCATCATTCCCCAGCGTGACCGGGAGGAGAGGTGGCCACAGCCCTCGCTGTGCCCTCTGGGCTGGCTGCACTTTGGAGGAAGACAGAGGCCGCGGCTACGTTCGTCCATCGTAACAAATGAGGCTCTTTGAACTGGAGGCTCAAAGGGATTTCAAGGATCACCCGTTCAG